TGTGTAGACATGAGAGGGCCCAGCCCACTTGGGTGGTGTCATCCTTGGGCAGATGGGCGAGGACTGTGTAAGAGCGGTAGTTGAGCACAGGTCAGAGTAGCAAAGCAGTAAGTAGCCTTCCCCTACAGTCTGGGTTTCAGCTCCTGCCTCCAGGTTCCCACCCTGCTTAAGTTCCTGGCTTGCCCTTCCCTCAAAGATGAACTGTGATCAGGAAGTATAAACAAAATAAACCCTTTCCTCTCCAAGTTAGTATTGGTCATAGAGTTTTGTCACAGCAATAAAAGAGACCAGAACACCTTATATACTTTCTATTCCCCTTTACATTAAAAAAAAATTTTTATGTGTATAGTGTTATGCCTACATATGTGTAAATGCACCCATGTTGTGCAGTGTCCATGGAGGGCAGAAGAGGGTGTCGAATCCCCTGGAATTGGAGTTATGGGTGGTTGTTAAGCTGCCATGTGGGTGCTGGGATTTGAACCTGGGTCTTCTGTAAAAGCCAGTGCTCTTAACTGCTTAATCATCTCTCCAGCCCCTCCCATTTACATTTTATCCCTTTGTCTTCCCTGTATGGAGATGTATATTCTGATTGGGTATTTTATGCTCTAGCATTGTGACAGGGTTACTCATGTGCACATAGACACTATGACATGTTGCCTTTTCTTTGTTCTAGGAAGGCTCTCACCACATCCCCCACCTCCCTTAAGGCTCAGGCCCTCTCAGAGACAAAGAGCATCATCTTGGTTTAGGGGTTTATACTTCTATAATATCATTATGTGTGAGAGCATCTTTCTTTTGATTGTGGCCTCAATGAGGCTGGAGACAGACACTATGACCAGGGGAGGAACCAGGAAGGACACAATCAGGCAAGTCCCCCAAATAAAAAGTATAATGCTGGGTGGGGCGGGTCTCTGGCTCTCTCTTCCTCCGCCGCTGCCAGGGAGTGCGGGCGGGGCTCTGCAGAGGGCTGCAAGCTGCTGGGCGTCTGCCGTGGCGTTGGTGAATGTAGGCTCTGCAGGGGGCTGCAGGCTGCCGGGTGGGCTGCGCCAAGCTGCGGGGGGCTCAGGCTAGCTGCGGGGGGCTCCCCCTCGGCTCGTGGGTCGTTGGCCACCGAACCACCAGGGCAGGGAAGTGCAGGAAAGGCGAACGGGGAATCGGGCGAGTGGGTGTTGACGGAACTCCTCCGGGAAGACTGATCACAGGCTGGTCCCAGGTGCAGTGAAACACAACTCAGCTCCAGACACAGCGAAAACAGCCCAGTCAGATTCAGTGATACAGCTCCGATTTATTAGGGGGAAAACTAGAAGATTTATAGTGTGGAGGCAGTAGCAAAAGCCTCAGCTGATAGGTGCTCTGTAGTATGCTTTATTTACATGTGGTGGTGGGCTTCTATCAATCAGGCTGTCAGACAATGCCTGATTATCATATAGAAAAAACCTGGTAGTTTCTATACCAGAGGTCATGTTTCAGGTAAGGCATCTATGGCCGCCACTTCAAGGTGAGCCAGGAAGAGCAGGAGGCCCCCTGCTGAAAAGGGGAGTCTCTCCATCAAACGCCGAGCCCCTTAGGCTATCCGGACATGGAGAAACTGCAACCCTAACAGTAGGGTTCCCCAACAGTATAACACTTGGGAGGGTTTTGAATTTCCTGAAAGTTGAAAGCCATCCCCCAGGTGATTCTCTGGGGTTCCAGCCTTCTAGGTCTGGATTGGCATGAGTGGTTCTTTTCATTCAGTCTGTGATTTCATCTGTGGTCTATTCTCCATACATTTGTAAGTTGCAGTTGCTCAGGTTCAATTTTCTACAAGCTCCTCCCTCAGAAACAAGTAATTGAAGACTCAGTTTGTTCATTTTGGTCTGCTGCTTGGCTGGTATATAAAGGGATTTTGCAGTTTCATTAGTTATTTCTACTGCTGCCTGT